TGCCTACACGAAGCAAAACAACCTGCATGTTCAGCGGCCGGGCTGGTTTGAGGTAGGAGACGACCTGCTTTACCAGAGATCGAATCGTGCACTTCGCCATGACCAGTGATACAGACACAAGCCCAACCAGCACAGTGGTGTACCCGATGTCCGTCTTTGAAGCAAGATCCATCCCAGAAGAGCCTCTTGCCTCTAAAGGCTTCAAGTACAGTGGCGCCAGGATCCACGCAGTGGAATTCGTACTGCTCATGCCCCAGACCGTCAAGTTTACACCAGATGCTCTCCGGCTCAACTTGGAGGCCTAACATGAAGGGGCACTTCCCGCTCCCGTGCATGACTACATTCTGAACCAACTCTGAAAGAAACTCATCTCGCAGCGCCCTCGTGGCAGGGCAGAGGAGGAGGAGGGCCAGGAGGAAGAGGCAAGGAGGAGGAGGAGGGGGAGGAGGAGGATAAGGAGGAGGAGGAGGAGGAGGAGAAGGAGGGGGAGGAGGGGGAGGGGGAGGAGGAGGAGGACGACGAGGAGGATGAGGAGGAGGAGGAGGAGGAGGGGGAGGAGGAGGAAGAGGAGGAGGAGGATAGATCCTCGCCTCCCTCTTGGACGCCGCAGAACATCGCACTGCATCGATCGGATCTGAAGCTCGCCATCGCTCGGACGTCCACTCCTCGAACATTTGTCGGCTTCGTGCGCGCATGTTTTCGCAAGCTGACCCAGGATGCTCCTCGATGGCTCCCGCCGACAAGAGATGTTGAAAAGGCCCTGGGACACACAAATGAATAGACACGACTAACCGGATTCCCATTTGTTTCCATATTTCTTGGTTTTTGTCTTCCCCCCACTTCCCATGTTTTCTTATATTTCCTGGGGAATTCGACGATTAATTGTGTCTGTGTGTCTTGTTCCCTCCTGAGATGTACACGTCCGAGCGATCCCAAGAGCATCGCACTGTTTCGATGCGATCCGAAATTGGATGCCCATGCCAACGAGCAGGGAGGCCCCGCGCGCGCCCCCCCCCGCGCCAGGGCTGCCGGCCCGCTCGACCTCCAGCTGGACCTGGGAGGAGCAGAGCCTCGCCATCGCTCGGACCGTCCACTCCCCCTGCATCTTCCGATGCCGTGCGTGTACGGTCGGCCTCGATTGGAGAGGACACGCGAGAGGACACAAGACCCTTCCGAGGGCCACCTCGCCACTGGAGCGTAAGAAGGCACGTGTCGCGAGGCCCAAGACACAAGGCCACCCGTGAGCTGGCAGGGTCGACCCACTAATCCGGGTCGACGGTATTTTTCCGCAAGAGAAATCCAAGGTGTTCCTCGATGGCCCTCGCCCCCCCCCTCCCGCAAAAAAAAAGCTGCACACGCCCCGGCGATGATGCCAAAGAACACGACACAAGCACACGCTTTTCGGAGGTCCGCGCGGGTTTCTTTGACGCGGCAGCGACGATAGGTGCGAATCGCCCAAGGGCGGGCAGTACACGTTCTAAGGTCTGCGCGGATTTCTTTGATACGGCAGCGACGATAAGTGAAGGGGCCCTGGGCACACAAATAACCGGATTCCCTATATTCCTTCATATGTTCTGGGTCTTTGTCTCCCCCCCCCACTTCCCATATTTTCCCATCTCTTCCTGGGAGTCGAGGATTCATTGTTGTGTCTCTGTGTCTTTCCCCTCCCGGATACAAGAGCGCACCGCCCAGGGGGCGGGCAAGACACCTTTTCGCCCGGCAGCCTCGCCGCAGACATGGAGCACCGGCTGCCCTGGAAGCACGCGTTGCCCCCCCCCTTGGCATCGTCGCTTCCGATAGATCAGCGCTGGACCTATCTTTAGGAATGAAAAAACGCCCCTACCCTGGGTTACAAGTCCGTGGTCAGTAAACCTCCCGGGAGCCACGACGCCGCGCGGCACGCGCGATATGCAGGGTTGACCCTGTCAGCCCTCAGGAGGTTCAGCGCACAGCGCCTCATAAACCAGGGAGGGGGCGTTTTTAACGCCCTTGACTCTCGGCGGCGCCTCCGGCGCCGCCCCTGGCGTGCCAACCTCCGGACGTGTGCGCTTGCAGTCGGGCCCGTGTCAGAAGAGCATCCCTGAAGAGCACGACACCCTCCGCCGGCCAAGACGCACGGAACATCCGAGGGTGCCCCCTCCCCAGGGGTGCACCAAGAGCATCCGACGACCACGGACGACACCAGGGCACCCTCCTCGAACCGACCTCGATCCTGGTCCGCCGCCGACCTCTCTGGCTCTTGGGTCCAAGCTCGGGTCTCCGGCGGCCGTTCGGGACGATTCCGGCACCCCTGGAACGCTCTCGGCGAGGCGCAGCTGCTTGCAGGCATCCCGAGGCTGAAACACCGCCGAGAACCGACGAAGCCGTCCGAACACCTCGGACCTCGAACCCGAAAACCTCGAACCTCGAACCCCTTCTGCCTCGGCCGGCTGTGTGCCGTCTTACCCCTCCGGTGACCGCGCTGGCGACGGCGGCAGCCACAGCCCCGCGCCCCAGGAGCCTTGGGCGGCGCGCAGCAGGGGGGCAGGGAGGGGGGGGAAGGCTCCTTAGAAGGGGGCTGCCTACCAGACCACCCCAACCCAACCCGAAGACCCGAATTTCGGGTTAGGGGGGGCAAGGGTTCCACATGTGTTTTTTCAATGTTTCCCGACCCCCCCCCCACTGGAAATCGAGGGTAAATCTGAGCCTTCGGGTTGGGTTGGGGTGGGTTGGTGGGTGGTGAGAAGGGGGCTACTTCTCAGAGAAGGCCCGCGCCTTCTGAGCAGCAGGGGTGCTTCTGAGAATCCTTCCCCACTCCACAACTGCACAACATGAGTACGTGCTCCTCTCTCCTCGGATGACGTCTTGGAAGATCTCCTGCCCCCCTCCCCGCGTACGGATTTTATACACAAGATTCCTGGGAATTTGGTTCTCGCTTCGATTTTGTTTCAAAATGTTGCTCCAGGCTGGCCTCATTTTCGGGCTTCCGCTCGTTCCGAATCGTGTTCCCGCTGCAACGCTGGCCTCATTTCCGCGCTTCCGCTGGTCCCGAATCGTGCTCCCGCTGCAGCGCTGGCGTCATTATTTCCAGTGCCATGCCACGGCGTTGTTTTCTGTCCTTCCAAATAAACACCAAAATCAAAGAAATGGCCTCCCAAAAAAGCGCTGGAAGTGATTATACATTCGGTGTCGATTCGTTGACTTTTTTGGGCCGCAGACCCCCACTCACTGTACTTTGGGGCGCCGTCGGTTTCAAGAAGTATCAAGCGTGAACGCCGTATCTGCTTTGAGAAGGCGATGTTGAAGCAGAGACAGCGGGTGCTCTCCATCAGCCCCGCCTTGCGTGGAGCTTTTGGGGCGTTGCCACGTCATGCTATGTCATGCTACGCGTTGTTATTCAACACCATGCTATGCTATGTAATGCTATGCAACGTTGCGACATCCGATTGTGCGAATAGAGAGGAGGAGGAGGAGGAGGAGGAGGAGGAGGAGGAGGAGGAGGAGAAGTAGGAGGAGGAACATCAAGAGGAGGAGGAGGAGGAGGAGGAGGAGGAGGAGGAGGAGGAGGAGGAGAGGAGGGGGAGGGGGAAGGAGGGGGAGGGGGAGGGGGAGGAGGGGAGGGGGAGGGGGCAAGCTAGGTGCGCTCGCGTCATATCTGACATCCTACCCCGCCCTCCCATCCCTTACCATGGCGTAGATCCCCTCTCTACTCGCACAGTCGGATGTCGAGCAGGGCAAGGATCCCGAAAGGGTACGCGCTGCATCGTAGAGCACGGCGTAGCACGGCGCAGAAAGGCACCGCAAAGCGTAGGGGGAGGGGCGCCAGATGCGACGCGAGCGCACCCAGCTTGCCCTTAACCCCCCCCCCCCCCCTGCGCGTGGCCGACGCCTCGCCGCCATCGCCCCGCGCGCCCCGCCCCGGCGCGCCGAGGCCTCGCCCGGGGGGTGTGCGGCGAGGGCCTCCGCCGCGGGCCCGCCACGGGCGTGGCGCCCTGGAGGCCGCCGGGCGCCACGCTCAGGCCGGGCGTGGACCGACCTTACTCATCCCTGCCCCTAAGATCGACACGCCAAAAGGCGATGACAATCTCAGGGATTCGCCCTCAAAACATAAGGGAATCCCTAAGATCGGCATCGTGATGAGCTGCAGGCGGATTTCGGACGAAGAACGGGACACAGACAAGACAGGTACAGACATTGTCAAAGATGGTCGAAAAATCGTCCCCAGTCTACAGTCGGAGCTTTGGCCTAAGGAACCCTAAATGAGGAACGAGGCCTTTTTTTTCCATAAGTGAAACCTCGATTCCCCATCGAGAAGCTAAGGACAACCTAAGGCAAGCTGCGAAACAATTAAGGAACACGGAGCCCCTCCCCAACGAAAAGGGTTCCTTGTTCAGCGCCCCGGCTGTATTTTTGGACCTCTTTTTGAGTGTTCCCCCTGGAGGGGGACACGCCCGACTTGACGCGACGCCCGCGGCGAGACAGGGCACGACACGCCCGCGGCGAGACAGGGGGGCGCGCGACCCGCATTCGTCGGGGAGGGAGGAAGGCTTCTTAGAAGGAAACCGCTTCTTAGAAGGCGCCGGCCCTACATCTGCAGACAAGGCCCGCGCCTTCTGAGAAGCAGGGGTGTCTCCAAGAAGCCTTCCCCCGTGCCCCCCTATCCACTTCTGCGCGTGGCCGACGCATCCCCGACCCTGCAGGGCCTCCCACCGACCGGACGAGACACCTCGGCGGCGGGGGGGGCTCCTTCTAGGGCGGCTGGGGGGGAGGGCCCCGGGGGCCGCCGAGAAGCCTCCTCGGGAGCCGGGGGGAGCCGCTGTTGAGCAGGGAGCGACCCTCCCGGCATTCCTTTAGTCCTACCACGGAATGTTCGCAGAACCCAAAAATGTTCTAATAACAAAACCAATGCTCTTAGAACATACGCCCGATGTGATCAAACAAGACAGTCCCAACCAGACATGTTCTAAGAACATTTCGTGGGAACCACAAGAGGTTCTCAGAACATTTTTTGGTAGGACCATAAGCGAGCCAGGACGCTTCGCCACTGCCTGACACTGGCTTCTGGGAGCCCCGCGCCTCCTCAGAAGGCCCCCCCCCCCACGCGCCACGCAACCGGCCACGAGAACGGCTCCGCGGGCCCACCTCGAAGCTGCGCCGCGGGGGCGTCCGTTCTCGAGGGGAGTGCGTCCGCATAGCTCCGCGGGGATGCGCTTCCGACCTGCGTTTCTGCACTACCAGAGATCCAACGTATTGAGAAAGTCAAGCCGACGGTTTTTCATATTGTTCGGCCTCGAGGGGCCCTCGCTGGGCCCAGGGACAATGAAAAAACGACTCAGGATGAAAAACCGGTCCTGCAGGGGGATGGGTCGAGACTTCCAGAGACCCTGCATTGAAAAAATCACGACATCGGATCTCTGGGTTGAGGCCTCCAAGATGCCGCCGACCTTCCGACGATCTGGAGCGGCCCGGTGTTTTCATGGCGCTGCTGTGCAGTTTGGCCCGGCCGATCCGATTTGGGCTCCGATTCCGTGGCGATGAAGCCCGACATTCTGATTCGAGGTCTCCGACTCCCTGACTTCTGGCGATGAGGCAGTTGTCCGTCCCAGAGCCGCACTCGATTGCCCCGCGGCCCGACAACGACCCCCAGAGGCCGAAAACATGCGTGAAGAGCTACATCGTCAGAGATCTGGGCTTCATCGTCAGAGATCTGGGGGTGGTGCGCTAGACTTGGGGCAATTGCATTGCAAACGTATTGTCCCTGAGAATTGTTTTGCATTTGTATTGCAAAAGGTAATGCGTTGCACGCGAAAATCCAACAATGCATCTGCGCCCCGGGATGTATTGCACGCCCCAGATGTATTGCAACCCGACAAAGTCAATTGCACCAAATCTATTGCACCACCTCCTTGTCGCTGGACCCCCTTTTTGGTCAACCCGAGAGCTGTGCCCAAAATTATTAGGGTGACGATTCAGCGGTGCCCAGGCGAGCGTTTTTTTTACTCGGCGTTTCGACTTTGGGCGGCAAGGGGGAGGAGGGAGAGGGGGGGGTCTGGCTCCAGACCTCTGCTTAGTGAGTCTGCTTGCAAGAGCGCAGCCTCTGGGGGAGACTCCACCCGCTCGAACCAGGCGCAACAAAAACAACCGAGATCTACTCCATGGGGGGGGGAGTGGGGGTCTGGGGCCCACCCCGATCGGCACAACAATGAATACAAAAACGATTACCACAGCGAGACACGTGGTTGTTTTCTCCAATCAGTCCCCCTTCTTTTGGGTCGACGAGCTCATCAAAACACCTCCCGAGCCCCTGCCTCCAAATGCAACCTCCGAGGCCTCGAAGATGCCCAAGATGTCTTAAGACGGCTCCAGAGACGGCCCAAGGTAATCTCGAACCCCCAGGAGATCCTGCAGAGGAAAACGTCAATGACTCCCTAAAAACGCTTTTGGGAGCAACTTTCAATGCTTTCGCCCTGCTCGGGCTTCCGAGAAGGCCCACGTCAGGCCGCCAAACCGGCCCACAACACGTTGCGCGACGCCCCAGGAGGGCTCCAAGAAGCCCCCAAAGCGGCCGAGAAGGCCAGCTCGCAGGAGCTCAGAGAACCCTTCCCCAAAAATGCCCCCCCAGCCTCCGCAACATGCTCCGGAAAAGCCCCCAACAGACCCCGAGAGAGCCCCAGGAGATTCCAAAATGGCAGCCGAGAGAACCCCGCAAATATCCCAAATGGCCCCACGAGGGCAATGGCGACCAGAGGCCCCCAACAGGATCCGCGAAATCCTTTCCCAACCCAGCAACCCTGGGAGGCCAAGCGAAATGCGCCTTCCAAAAACTGCCACGATTCTGCTCGTCTTGGTGGTCGACAGAATTGCGAAAACCTTTTGGCCCCGGGCCTTCTGTAGGCGCCGTCGTCATCGATGTTGTTTGGTCGTCGTTTCTAAAATCTGTCCCAGCGGCGCGGTGCTAACCAACTCCGGGCGAAAATAATCCCCGGGGGAAGATAAAGTTCGGGCAAATGTCGGGGACAATCACATATTTTCCCGGCGAGCGTGATGGCATGCTGGTGATGATGACGATGGCGATGATTATCCTGGGTGCTCGCGCAACCTGACCTTGTGGATCTTGGCGCGGGACTGACTCGAGAGATCTCGAGGCTCGTGGCCACGACATGCCTGCGCAAGAGAAGTCCTTGGCGCTCGCACGACTTCAAACCACTCGCCCACGCAGGCTCGGCATCCTTCGGAGCCGTCTTTGCACTGGCGGCACTTGGTGCGGGCCTGGGCGGCAGCGCTTGCCTCCTCGAGGGTGGCGTGCTCCGGCTCGACCGCCGCGGGGTCCTTGAAGGGCTTGGACTTGGCTTTGCTCTTGGCCTTGGCCTTGGCCAAGTCGTTGTCGCCGGCCTCCTTGAGCTTGCTGATCCACAAGTTGCCTCGGGCGCGCGTCGCGTTGATGCTCGCGGGCGCTTGGCGGCCCTCGCCTCGGATCTCGCGCAGGGCGCGCTCGATTCAGCGACTCGTCCGCGGGCCGCA